ACGTGACACAATCCACGTAACAAAAAAAAAAATGTCAAATTACTTGTGTTCACGTCACAACCCACGTCTCATGTTTTGAGTGTTACACACTTACTAAATTAAAAACAGTAGTGTGCTTTTTCGATCAGCGTGACACACAAACACTCATTCACCTTATCCCATACAAACCCACAACAAATGTCAATCAATAACACTAGCAATGGCAAAATTGTCAACAAACAAATTAAGGGACCACCCAATCACTAAGAAAGCATTCAGGATCTTATGGATTACAAGTCTACAAAATGAAATTTACTGGTCAATTCCCCTTTAATTTTTACTTTTTAGTTACTCTTTTAATTTGAAAAGAAAAAATATCAAATAGGAGCTATGAAAAGTGATTTAAAGTTCATGAGACAGAGCATTTTGTTTTTTCTGGCTTTCCTCCAAGACCAGAGCCTTTTTCTCATCTTTTCTGTGAGGTCCACCAATCCTATGAGCTCCACCAAGAAGTCAAGAAAAACGCCTAAATGACGAATGAGTCATTAGTTATCAATCACAGTATTAATGCTCAAGCCCTCATTTAAAATTAAGAGTGGTATTATATCTCTTTAATATGTCATTTCTATTTTCATTTCTAATGAGATAGAATGGAGAGAATAGAGAGAGACAAAAATAAATAAATAAAGAATAAGAAGTGAGATATCTTTCACGAATCTACATCATTAGAGATAGATTAAGAATACTCAATTAAAGCTCCCAAATATTTTTCTTAAATTAAAGTTAATTAATCAATTTATGAACAACTCATTAGAGTTTGCAGTTTTCTTTTCTTTTTTTTTTTCTTTTTTTTCTTTTTTCTTTTTTTGGCAGTGGTGGTGGTTGTTTACTTGATAACAACCAGGACGAGTGTTTAATTTATTGGGCCTTTTACATACTGGACTAACACCCAAGCCAATCCTTTTTATGAAAAGATCATAAATAAATAAAAATTTGAATATTGGACCCACTCGTGCTCCGGCCCACAAGCAACAACCCATTAGTAACTTACATGCATTGAAAAACATCTGACAACAAATGGGACTTTCGTAAATAAATAAGTTAAATAAAAAAAAAAAAAAAAAATTGTTTGATTGAGAGATTTAAGAAAAGATTTAAAAAGAGAAAAAGAAAAAATATGTAAAATTAGATAAAATATATGTATATATTATTCAAATTTTACTTACCTTTTCTATTTTCCTTTTCACAAAAAAATACTTTTTTTTTTATTTTTGTTTTGGGGGTGTTTGGGAACCTAACTTTAAGGCTAAAATAGCCTCAAAAAAAAACTAAAAGCCTCTATACCAATGGTAAAAAATAAATAAATAAATAAAAAGCCCGGCTGTGGACTGTCACTGTGATAGTGTAGGCACAGCCTACCCCTGTCACAGTGACAGGTTGGTAAATTATAATTTTGCCCCTTTTGATTAATTTTGAAAAATGTGAAGTTAAGGATAAATTTATCATTTTAACTTCAAATATCATTTCAACACATTTTTCAATACAGTAACTCAAATAAAAAAATTCATCACATCTTTCCAAATATTAAAACTAAAATAACCTACTAAAAACCTCATTAAAAGGCCAAGACGTGTACGACTATTTTTCTTGTAATATTTACGTCCAACTTGATGGCTTTATAAATTTGTATTGTAGTCTCATTATTTTGTTGCCTATCTCTTTTGTTTCAAAGGGGATTTTGACAGTTCAACCTTTAAATTTGATTAAAACCAATTTGTGACCCAACAAATGACTTAATCCATTCTCCAAAGAGGATGCAATTCATGTATCATGTTCATATCCCATTGCTTGTTTGACTTTGTTGATAAATGTATATTATGCATTAATATATTTCTTTTATCTTCTGTGATCACCTAAGTTATGCTAGTTTTGAGTTTTTTTTTTTTATTATTTTAAACTTAACGTTTGATAAGAATATATATAAATAAATAATTATCGCATCATTAGGCCATCCCTTGATCTTTTATTAAATTTTTATTTTTGTGAGTTAGCAATATTATTTAGACAAAAAAAATTGATTGATTGATTGATTGGTGGCAACAACCAATTAGAACTTAAATATGTATTTTCAAGACTAAAAGCTCACAAGCATCACCTTGGAAGAGGTAACATAACACAACATACAATTATACTTCCTGAATACATTGAGCTTGGTCTATTTGTCAAGTTTTCTGACTTAGGCATCGGAGAGGTTTCCGGCACACACCCGCCGGCTAGCTCACGTTTGTGTTTTCAGGTGACAAAACGACGTCGTACGGAAAAACGTGAACTTAGTCAACAGGATTATACGAGGAGAATTATTTCTTCTCCGTACAGTACACATATATATAGATTGAGAAACCACAAGGGTGACATCTTTAGTTGCAATTTGCAGAGTTGAGTTAAGTTGTTCGCTTCAAGAACAATCAGATCATGATGAAACCTACAACCTTTGATCTTGAGATTTTGATAAAGACGGTTATAACCCCTGAAGGAATTTCAATTTACAAAAACACATAGGCCTAAAACACCTTTCTCATAAAGATTGACTTTGTTCAAGCATGTCAATTACAAAAAATTAAAAGAAAAACAATACTAAAAGTAGTTTGATCCAAATGAGACTCTTAAGTTCACAAATTGTAATATCAAAAGAAAGAAGGTGAAAAGTCTTTGTTCAGTCTCATTAGCCAAGTAATAAATTAAATAATGATAAGCGTCTTAAAAATTGTATAAGTCACGAGTTTGAATCTGACGAAGTGTTTGATTTTTTTAAGGTCATCAAAAGTTAGTCCTCAAGAATACTTATAAAATATATACAGGATAAAAATGGTGAAAGAAAAAAAAAAAAAAGAAGTTAGGATCACCTTGAACTATTCCATGTCAAATTTTAATCGAAATATCATAGTTCTACACTTGGTATAAAGTGTTCGTATATCCAAAAATAGATACAACAATGTTTCTAAAACTAATAAATATCCATTTTCTTTTTTCTTTTTTATTGGGAACTAAATATCTATTTTCAGGTCCTCAAAATTTTACCTGAAGGTCGAACAAAAAAATAGTTGGTTTATTAATAAGGATGCTAATTAAACCTTTTTTTAGGATAAATTATATTGACATTAGGTTTAAAAACATACAATAAATTATAAATGTGGCAAAATTACACTGATTTCTCTTTTTTTACGAAATAAATATATATATATATATATATATATTAGTATGTAAGAGATGATGACCATATCTTTCATTCATATGATTTGATTATATATATTAGTATGTAAGAGATGATGACTATATCTTTCATTCATATGATTTGATGATAAATAAACAAAATATTATATAATTTTAAATCTTAGAAAAACACAATGAAGCGTCCTCTATTTATTAATATAAATTAGTATATAATTATTCCTTTAATGTATGTCATTCCATTACATTATAAAAAATATAATAAAAAAAGGGATTCGGGGCCTGCTGTGTGTGCCATTTTACGGGCTTATTTCGAGATTCGTTTTGATAATCTAAACCGTTCACATTTTAAAGTACATTGAGTAGAACATACCTGTAAAAAATTAAATTAATCAAATATTGTTAACCCTTAAGATAAATGACATTGTAATTTAAAGTATTAAAATGAATATAAATGTGAGTGAATGAAAGGATTAATGATATCTGATTAACTTAATTTTTTACAGATATATTTTACTCGATGTATTTTAAAATATGAACAATTTAAATTATCAAAACGAATTCTGAAATTAACTCGTAAAGCCACACAATAGTGCCCGTTGTGCTGTGCACAGTAGGCACCCAAATCCTCAAAAAAAAATATGGACTGTACCAAACAAATAGGCTTTATATTCATTTTTCCAAACGAGTCGTCATTGACTTAGGAATTTGATTTAAAAACTAGCAAAAAGAGCCCTTACGAAAGATCAAAAATTACAATTATAACCATTAGGACACAACCCAAATTGTTAATAATAATAATAATAGAGACAAAATATAATTCGGCCTGTAATTTTCGCTCCAACAATAACCAACAACCGAGTCCGAACCCCACCTCCCCCAGTCTCCTTTCTTTTTCAGGGATGTGGATCCTTTGTCCCTACTTTCTATCTCAATCATTGTGTCTTATTTATTTATTTTTAAATATTGTCATATTCCCAAATTTCGAATAATTTGATTAATTTACCTTTTAATAATTAAGAAACTTTCAAAGTTAGTTTTAAAATTTTAAAATCTTGATGATGTGGCAATACTAAGCCCAAACACAATCCTTTGGAACCCAAAAACAAATTAAATAGATCATTTTTTTATCTCTCAACTATCTAACAAAAGTGAATCAACATGGTTTCACTACTAAAATTTTTGGTTATGTCATTGGTTAGAAACACTACTTAGATAATGTCATTGTAGGACTACTACATATTTTTCGAGTAATTATTCATTAGTCTTTGAGCATCATATGTCAATGTATATATGTAATGCTTCAAACCAATCACATGGGGAAACATTTTACAAAATGAAACACAGTGACTCAATTTTGTCAAGTATTAAAAAACAAATGATGATCTAACTTGTTACGATTTTCCGTTTGCCTAGTACAGCTTATTAAAAACTAAAATCAAAAACTAAAAACTAAAAGTACTTTTCACCCAACTTGCAGATATTTATTTTTTTAAAACTTATTTAATTTATTTTGTCTGATAAATTATAAGCAAAGATGGTACCAAATAGTCTAACTCAAATTCTCAAAACCAAACAAGTTATAAACAACTAAAATAAATTGCACCAAATTATAAGCAAGGTACTCCACAAATATTAAATAATTTTTTATAATTCTCCCATGGTCAGAGAGAGAGAGAGAGAGAGAGAGAGAGTCGTTGTCCATTTAGAAACGCTGTATGCGTCAAAGCGCAAACGCATAGCATGTTTTTCAGACGTCAAGTGGTGGAGGCAAAGCCAAGCAAACACCAAACAACGCCCTCTCATCTATATTTTTCTCTTTCTTTCCCTCTCCCAACTCCAAACTCCAACTTCCCTTCTTCAAGACCAAGCCATACTCTCTGAATACCCCTCAGAAAATGAAACAAATAAATTCACACAAACCCACCCCTTTCTCAGTCCCAAGTCCTTTCCCTCAAACAACCCCTTTCTTTGCTATCTACCATTTTAATATAAATCTCCTATACAAACACCCTCACACACATAACCTAAATGCCAAGCAAAAGGTTAGGTAACTGATGGCAACCCTAAACACCTTCTTCCCAAACCCCTCCCCTTTTACTGCTGCTCTCTCCCTACATTCCTCTATGCAATTCAGCTCTCACTTCTTCTTTGGGTTATTGCCAACTTAACTCTCCTATTGAGCCAGCTATCAACAACGAAGAATCCGACACTAGTTTGCTTCGTTTTCTTGTTCTTTTGTTTGTTTGTTTTTGTTTTGTTTGGAATAATGCAGCTTCACATATCGCCAAGTTTGCGGCACGTCACGGTTTTGCCAACGAAAGGGGTGAGAGATTTTATCAAAGTGAAGGTCGGGTCGAGAAAGTTTTCATATCGCATGGTTTTCTATTCGCTTCTGTTCTTTACATTTCTTCTCCGGTTTGTGTTCGTGTTAACGGCTGTGGAAAACATTGATGGACAAACCAAGTGTTCTACTATAGGTATGTTCTAAACCGTAGTGTTCCTCTCTCTCTTCCTTCCCCTCTCTTTCTCTATATCTATCTATTGGAAAAATATGTTCAAATCCTAACCTATAAAACGCAAACACTTCAAAACAGATGCCGTGTTGACGACATATGGGACATCAACAAGCCGTCGACGTGTCACATGACGTGTTAATTTTGTTAATTATATTTTTTTTATGAGACAAGTTGAGATATACGTGTTCTTTGTTTGGACACGTCTCATTTGAGATCAAAGTAAAATATATGAAAACACAAAGAAAAAACATTAAAATACACCCAAGTATATATTGGTATTTCTTCTGATATCTCTGTGCCTCAAATTTACATCCATAGATAGGCATAGCAAATAAAAATAACTTGTTTTACCATATTCATGACGTATCCTTAATCTTTCCTAGTTTTTTTTTTTTTGTCAAAATGAGTGTTCCGTGTCTATGCCAGTGTCGGTGTCCGTAACTGTCCTTGTTAGAACCTAACTAACAAAACTTCAGTTTCCAAGAAAACCACTCAATAAAAAATGAGAAGCGTATGTCAGTAAAGAGTATAAAATATAGAGAAATGTTAGAGATCATGAAAATTTTGTCATGAAAATGATCATGAAAATTTTGTGACCCTTAGATTACCTTGATTAGTGTGTGGTGCTTTATTGTAAGTGTAATCCAAAGGTCACAAATGTTTCATGACTATTTTCATGAAAGACTTTTCATGATACCTAACATTGCTGTAAAATATATAGTTGAAGAAAGAACGACATACCTAGTAATGTATTCATAGTTAAGATAAATATTCAAAAAACAAGTACTTAATAATTCGGCATCAATATAGAAGTACGTTTTGTCCGCTCAAACTTTTAATTTTCAAAAATGATTACTTGTAATGTTAGATTATGATTATCCCTAGGCGTGTCTTATTATATAATCATCCAATTAAGAAAATTAAACATAATATCAATACTAACAAGAGGAATCTGTTAGGTAACATCATAGTATAATTTATGATCAATAGTCTACAATCGGACTAATCAAATGAGAAATTCAAAGAAATCACATATAAAAAAAAAAAACCTTAGTCGAACACCTGCCATTTAGGATTATTAATCCAATGGATAATTAATCCAACAAATTTGTAGGATTATTAGTAATGGGGTAGGGGTGGGATTATTAATCCAATGGATATTAATCCAATTGGATAGTGAATACCACACTAATTTAATAGGATTATTAATACTTCACTATTAGTGTTGTGAATCAAACATGACCTATATGTATTATTGTTGTATAATTACAGTAAATTGAGTAATACACCTTTTTAATATTGTATATTACATATAATACTATAATTCTTTGTATACAGAGCAGTATTCATATGTATATGTGGATGAAACATAAAAAATTGTAAATCTAAAATTTGCTAGCGTTTAAGCAAAAAGACTAAGACAATTGTATGACTCTCAAAAGTCCTGTTTGTTTTCTTAATAATTTCTAATTCAACTACAATTTTCACCCCCATAATTATAGATTCTGAGATAATTTTAAATTTGATGTAATGATGTTAGGCTGCTTGGGGAAAAGGCTAGGACCAAGGATCTTGGGAAGAAGGCTTGAGTCAACTGTAATCTCTTCACTCTGTTCTCCTTTTATCATCTTCGAAAATCACAATTTATGTTCTCATGTTTTTCTTGTGGAGCATAATTCAACACATAATTCACCCAAAAAAAGCACAATTCAACACACACACAAAAAAAAACAAAAAACAAAAAAAAGGTTTAAATTTCTTTGCTTTTTGAAAGGTCCCACAAGTAATCTACCAAGTTTTAGAAGCACCTGTGAGCGAAGAAGAACAAATACGAGGACCTGATGAATTAATTCCACAAACATTGGAAGATTTTGTTGCGGAAATGAAGGATACTAGACCTGACGCCAGGACATTCGCTATTCGACTCAAAGCCATGGTACCCCTCTCTCTCTCTCTATATATATATAATTGCATTGGCTGAACATGAAACTCTAATAAAATCTCTCCCAGTCCGTTTGGCACACGAGAAAAGAAAAGAAAATTGATTGTAGTTCTCACCTCTTGTTGGATAAATAAGTGAGGAAAATGACGAGAAAAGAAAAGAAGATTAATTTTCTCTTTCCCATCATTTCACACCATTTTTAACCTAATAAGCAATCAAACGTGAAAGAAGGGACATGAGAATCTTACTTCTCTCATCAAATCGCTCAAACCAAACAAGCTGTCTATTGATCTGATGAACTGACTCACACATCTCTTGAATTTCCTAGAAGGGAAAAAAATGGTGAGAAAGGAAGACAATTTTTCTTTCTCGTCATATCACCCCATTTCTGACCTATTAAGCAATCAAACAGAAAAGAAGAGACATGATAATCTTTTCTTCCCATCAAATCACTTAAACAAAAAAGACAGTCTATTCGTCTGGTTGACTGACTCACACACCTCTGAATTTCCCTCAGGTCACCCTCCTTGAACAGAGGACTAGAACAGCCAAAATCCAAGAGTTCCTTTACCGCCACGTAGCATCCAGCAGCATACCGAAACAGCTCCACTGTCTCGCTCTAAGGCTAGCCAATGAGCACTCAACCAATGCCAATGCCCGTCTCCAGCTCCCCTCACCGGAATTTGTCCCTGCTCTCGTCGACAACTCCTATTTCCACTTTGTGCTCGCCTCCGATAACGTCCTCGCAGCCTCAGTTGTTGCTTCATCTCTTGTTCACAACTCATTGCACCCCAAGAGGGTTGTCCTTCACATAATCACCGACAGAAAGACCCTTTCGCCAATGCAGGCTTGGTTCTCGTTACACCCTTTGATGCCCGCCATCATTGAGGTTAAAGGGCTGCATCATTTCGATTGGTTTACAAAAGGGAAGGTCCCGGTGTTGGAAGCCATGGAAAAAGACCAGAAAATTCGGTCACAGTTCAGAGGCGGGTCTTCGGCTATTGTGGCAAATAATACTGAGAAACCTGTTGTCATTGCTGCCAAGTTGCAAGCACTTAGTCCTAAGTACAATTCGCTAATGAATCACATTCGAATTCATCTACCAGAGGTATGTAAATCTCAAATATCAAGGACTTCTACACTTCTACTATGTCAACTCATTCTCGGTGCATACATTTTTTTTTTTTTGCAGTTGTTTCCTAGTCTGAATAAGATAGTGTTCCTGGATGATGATGTTGTGGTTCAAACTGATCTTTCACCTCTATGGGACATTGAAATGAATGGAAATGTAAATGGAGCAGTAGAAACATGCAGGGGAGAGGATAAGTTTGTGATGTCAAAGCGGTTGAAGAGTTATTTGAACTTTTCTCATCCCTTGATATCAAAGAATTTTGACCCCAACGAATGTGCATGGGCATATGGCATGAACATTTTTGATCTAGAGGCCTGGAGGAAGACGAATATAAGCGAAACATACCATTACTGGCTTCAACAGGTAAACAACCAATAATTTTTTGAATGCCAAGGATATAGAATAAACATGTTAATTCTTACAGCTAAATTGTCTACCAAATCTTTTCTTTTTCTCAACACAGAACTTGAAATCAGACCTAAGTTTGTGGCAGCTAGGGACATTACCTCCAGGTCTAATAGCATTCCACAGTCACGTCCAAATAATTGACCCCTTCTGGCACATGCTGGGCCTAGGGTACCAGGACAATACAAGCATCGCAGATGCTGAAAGTGCTGGTGTCATCCATTTCAATGGCCGAGCAAAACCATGGCTCGATATAGCATTCCCACAACTTCGGCCACTATGGAGCAAGTATGTGAACTTCTCTGATAAGTTCATCAAAGGTTGTCACATCAGGGCATATTAGCATGGATTTTGAGAGGAATTTGTTCCCCGTATTGATGATAAATGCACTTGCATATGAACAACCACAAGCAAGAGAGAGGTTCTTCGCAAATTCAAGATGCGAGATGATAACAGCACTAGGGTTTAGGGTTTGGAGTTCTGAGTTCTTTATAATATATTTCTTTTATTTTTTTTTTATTATAAAAGATTATAGTTTTTCAACCTTTCAGTTTTCATGCGAGTTATAGATAATAATACTGTAAATAAACTCAATGTCTCAAAATGCATGATGGGAGACCCCGTCATTTTTGTTACCTCCATGAGAACTACAACGTTAAGAGCGTGAGATTTAACATATCACCAAATTTCCAAAGGAGGAAAAAAAAACAAGAAAAACAAAATGAAGGGGAAGAAACAATGACAGGACTGATGTATTTTCGCAATCTTGCAATGAAATCTACATTCTTTTACGTCTGGCCTATAATCCATGATTGATACTCTTTTTAGGGATGTTGCAATGTATAAAGCAACAATCAGGGCATTTCTATGAATAACTTGACAAAAAAGGAAAACAATACGTACACAGTGAAGTACTCATTGAAGAGTTCTAAGCATTTTTTCTCTAGATTGAGCTCAGAAATTTGGTGGTAATATTGGCTTCAAGGATTGAAGATTATCCATGTTCATCATACATAGATACACGTCAGAATTCTATTGGTTTTTATGGAATTTCTAAGTCATTATTCTTTTTGGTTTTGATTGGGCTTCTATTGGATATAGTTTTTGACTTGGATAAATTTTACCATCTCCAAGAAATGTTACAAAATGCATTATAGCATCTTAAATTCAGGGACAGATCCAGGATTCTACATTTGGGGAGACAAAAGCACATGTAACTCCTAATCAAGAAAATTTTCCCAAACAACAACAATATCAATCTCAATCTTTGGGTGCTCTTGACCTAAGTTACCTAACATTCACTTTAATTATGCCATTCAATTCAAGTTGCAAAACACAGTCTAATACATGGGTAAATAAATCCTCAATCTTATAGATGTAGACTGAAAGATCAATGCAAGCACAAGAAAAGATATTCGCCCAAACAAACAAAAAAAAAGCACAAGAAAAGATAGGAATGCCCTATATTGGCTTGTTTTACATGTGCATATATTAAATGTTTATAGTATGCGTGTGGATGAGAGAGATGGAGAGCACCTTCAAATTTTCCCCTCTTAGCTTCCCATTGTTCTTTCTTCACCTTTTTTTTTTCTTCTTCTTTTTCCTCAAAGTAATACAATTTTTTTACCGAACAATCAATTAAATGCTATACAAGGGTTACTAACAGTTCAGTGCAACTCCATTCATTCAGGCATTTCAACAAAAAGTTTGTCAAACAAAAGAAGGAAAATTTCAGATGTTCAATTGGACTCACTTTCTACCGGTCACATTCGACACCAAATCCTTCAAAAACTTTGCAGACTTCGTAACAGGCGAATTCATAGCCATTAAATTGTACAAAACATTCTCAACTTCCACGATCGATGGCCGCGCTTTGAAACTTGAAACCACTTTCAGTTCTCCTTGTTCTTCTTCAACAAACACATTCCATTTCTCACCACTCAAAACCCCATCTCTAACACACTTGAAGATCACACCTTTCCTCTTACTCAAAACCCCTCTCACCTCCAACCCCATGAATGAATAAACCACCTCAAACGAGCCCACAAACCCACCCAACTCACCAAAACTGCTCTCCTCCTCAAACCCCCATCTGGGATTGAAAATCACCACTGGCTTTGGGTACAAACTGTCAGCAACCCTTTTCATAACTGCCAATTCTGAAGCCTCTGGCGCCATAAACACTGCCACCTCAGCAGAATTCAGAACTCTGGTATCATCATTGGTGGTAATTGATGAAATGTCAAAGTGTTCAACCAAATTTGATGAGAGAGACTCAAAGGCTTCAATGGCAGCTTCTGTTAAAGAAGGATTTTGCCACAAGATCATAATCTTGACAGGAAAGCCTTTTCTTCTTATGGGTATTTCTCCAAACACCTCGAGAGCAAGTTGGGACAGCGAGGTTGGCGAGTCATCCACGAGGGGGATTTCGACTCGGAATCTGGGTTGCTTCAGTTTCTTGAGTTTTCCGGCGAGTTTGGGGTTGTTGAGAGGCTTTGATAGGATGGTTGAGAGGGAGGTTTTGGCTTGGAGGATGGCTTCTTCTTTGGAGGTGGGTGGGGTGGAGGAGGAGAGAGAAGATTTGACGACGGATGGAGGACGGACTTTTGCTCTGTGGAGGGATTTTGAGGGGAAGATGGAGAGATTGGAATGGTGATTCTGGTTTTGTGTAGAGAACGGAAGAGATGGAAAAGGAGTTGTAGTTTGATGTTGCAATTGGAATGAATGCTTTGAAGTGTGGATAGTTTGTAAGTTGATTTTGAGGAGACTAGAAGCCATTTTTTAGTCTTGAAATTAAAGTAGAAGAGAGAGTAGTTTGAGAACCAAGTTGAAGATGCATGAATGGATAAGAATTGATTTTTTTTTTTTTTTTTCCTTTAAACAAGACAAAAAAAGATGTTTGTGGCGTGGGTCCTGCTCTTGGATTGATTATCGTTCTGATTTAACTTAAAAGTAATGCTGGACGTTCTAAATTTCCTATTAAATAAATAATTACTTATCTTATATATCTATCTGTGGAATTTATAATTTTATAAATTTTACATTTATATGAAATATTTAATTATTTACTTAGTAAAAACTTAAAACGTATGATATTTTTTTTAACTCAATTTATAAAAAAAGATTTACTAGTGTGACACCAATAATGTCATGACAAATGCCTTAAAAGACATACAGATACTTTGCCATTGTGCATCTAATTTTTTTGATAATTTAATGAATGAAAAAAAAATTAATTGAATTTAAAATCTATTAAATTTAAAAAATTGGTTGAAAATTTTGACAGTTGTTTAACAATTAACAATATGAAGAAAAATAAAGTGCGAGTAAAAATTTCAAACTACTCTGAGCTGTATATTTTGTATAATGAAATAAATATGCATGAATAAAATTCCAATGAAATTTACAAGCCCATACAAAACCTAATTTAATGGTTGAGCAATTTTTCCTTCTCAAAAATTGGTTGAGCCATTTATCTTACAGAACACTGCAAGCCGACCTTCTATGTAAAAAATTCAATTTTTTTAATAATTTAGTGTCCAAATCAATGTGTAATCCCCAAACCCTAATCTATAACCATATGATTAAAACAGATTTGTCTTTAAATATACATATAATCTCTAAATCATATTTGTCCCTTTTTCTTCTTTTTTTGTTGAAAAAGGGGGCATGAACAGCAAGTCATGCATATATTCTGCACTTCGCATGGTATTTCTCCTGCAAAGTTTTTAACATTATTGGAGACTGAAACCCCCTTTGACTGCCAAAGCCAAAAAATATAAGCTGCCAGATTTAATTCAACTAACATTTACATAAAAAATCTAGCATTAACTAGTGCCAATTCCGAAATAGCATTCAAGTGTTCAATCAACAACGAAATCCACTTACATACTTCACCGAAAACCACTAATACAGCCAACAGCGTTCACAAATCAAATGGGCAGCACTCGAGGTACAGTGCAAAATCAAAAACCATTTTAGGCTACGGCTCCAATTAGGCAACTGGTGGGCGGAGCACATGATCCTGAGAGGTGTCCACAGAAGCAGGTGGCATGAACTGCCACATGGCGACTCCAGGGTAACTAATGATAGGCACCAATTTGTTGCCCCCAGCTTGGCCTTGAGCAGCAAACGCTGCAGCTGGGATTGCAGGATGTGGAGGCATGAACCCAGGTTGGACATTCACTGTCTTTAGTTGTTGCTCCAACCTCTCTTTCTCAACCTTTAGCCTTTGCTTCTCATCACGAAGCTCATTCTTCTCCGCCTAGAAAAGTAAAAGGACAATTTATTACAACAGGCATAAATACAAATCGCCAAGAGTCTGAGGAAGAATATTCACCTTCAACTCTTTGATCTTATCATGCAGACTCGAATTCGAATCCTTCAACTTTTGAGCTTCACTCCTTAACTGTGTCACCATACGAACAGCATCAACCAAAATAGCAGCCTTGTCTGTTTTGGGAGGCCTTCCAGGCTCAAGGATAGATCCCAATTCCATAAACCTAGGAACACGAAATTGGTTATAAAATAGAGAGAAAAAGAGAGAGAGTGATAAAGAGTTCACATGCGCACTTGTCATTGAGCTTATCCCTCCGCAACTTCTCCCTGCATGCTTTGGAACTTGATGCACCACACGATTCAGGTCTTGCCCTGTAACAAGAAATATGAAACGGTGAGGAAAAGCTGAGAGGAGGGATTAAGATTCGTTATGTACCCAAATTGCAGGTTTCTTCCACCTCTAGCCATATAGTTTTCACATTACATAGATAAAAGAATAGAGTTCTGCCTAATTGCAAAGTCTGTTAAAATGCTTATCAAACATATCATATCAAGCCCTAATCAGTGTGAATTGGTTGGGTGAATTGAATAAAGACCTGAATCGGTAAACCAATAGGTGAATGAATCAATGAATCGACCCATTATTTCTACTGATTATTTTTTTTTTTTCTTTTTTACTTTGGATCTTTTCTTGTTTTTTGTTTTTTGTTTTTGGTTTTGTTTCAAGGCTCTTAAGGTTGTTCTATACCATTCTTCTCCTTTCTTTCCCCTTCTTTCATTGTCTTGGACTCTTTGTGCTCTCAACGCCCAACTTTCAATAATGAAGAATTTTATTTTGTCTCTCTAGAAGGCTTTATATTCAAATTTAGTTTTAGCTATGTGTTTCTGCTCGCGAAAGAAAACTTTTGGAGATATTCATTGAGAGGCTTGAAAAGTGTGGTGGTTTAGGTAATTTGACCCTTTGAAATTAGTAGTTGGGTAAAAACTTATATAAATTGAGTTGTCAACTTATTGTTGTTTGAAATTTGAGAGTTTCGCTTTGTTTACCCACTTTGTTGATAATGATTGTTAAGAAAAAAGAAAAAGAACAAATCTAGTAACCTTATATAGGACCATGGTTTGGTGTAGAGTATAGACCATGGTTTGATAGAAATGATAGATTGCTTCAAGTACTTGATAAATTTGGAACTTGTGATGAATTTATGCATTATTATGCAAACTTTATAAAGTTTATCTTATATGATGGATCTTGAAATTTTGATCTATTAGATCCTCAACTTTTAAAGAGAGCTTGCTCAATATTATCAGGGACACTGTAACCATTCACTTCAACAATATTATAAAAATCATAGAAATATCATCCAATCATGACACATTGAAGCTAATAAAGTGCACACACAAAAATAAAGGGTGCCCATGACATCAATTAGGTGTCACTTAGGCTCTATTTAATTGACAGGACATAAAAGAGAGAATAAAATTCGTTTTCCTTCACGGTATGTTTGTTCAATTGTCACGGGAAAATGTGGGTCCCACTATAAATGTTTTCTTGAAGGAAATTTTCTCTCAAAATTCTGTTTGTATGCATCAAGGAAAAGTTGAAAACTAATTTTCCTACAAACTTTCTTGTAAACTAAATGGTTAATAGAAAGAAAGAAAAAAAAAATTGATTTCTTTATATTTCCTAACCGTTGTTTACTTTAATTCAATTTCCTCAAGAATTACATCCTGTGTGATATTCCTGATGTTGAACAGTTCTAAGGAAACAATTATAGATGGAATTCTTTCAATGAATCGTAGGATGCCACTTTTACTCAGCATCGCAGCTCATTGTCCGCATCTAAGTGAAATTTAGTTCTTACAACAGACCCTTATTTACATTAACAAACTCAGTGTCATTAACTTGTGCAAAGTAGGTCACTGTCCCAACTCGTGACAAGATGATGAGCAACCATGACTAGAAAGAATGCTTTCTAATGAATGGCAATCTCAAGAAAAGTCCCTTTTTTGTCACAATGTATTTTCAGTGAAAGCAACTGAAAATATATTCCACATAACCAGTTGTTGAAATGTTCAAACACAAGAGGGACAGATAATTTACATCCACCTTTACTACATGTTTCTAGCATATGCATGGATAGAGTAGAAGCTCTTTACCTCTTTTTCGAGCCAGTTTCCTTGTGACTGTCTGAATCCCCCAATGAGCCATCAAGTTCCACACTAGACAAACATTAGATACCACAATTGGAAGAATTGAGAAAATAAAATAAAATAAAATAAAACACTAAAATATCTAGAGTAAATGCTTTAAAGAAAAGTTAAGAATGGCCTTTTCAATGGACTAGAAAGTAAATCACTTTACACTAATCTACATAATCGATCAAAGCATTTAAGAAGTGAAACAGGAACATATTTATACTCCTGGTCATTGGAACAAACAAATATAGCTTTCATTGAGTTTAAACCCATCACTCAGATAAAGATACTCCTGTAGACTCCAAAGATAACTAGATTATTTTTCTGACAGCACTGTACTAACATTTACACCAAGATTTTCCAATGAGCATAGTACATTTTAAAGCAAAAAAACTACCTATTTAACTACATCCAAAAATCAAATTGAAGTTTGCCCCAAAAGTACGACTGACATCCCAAGAGGGCAATCTAAAGTTACAAAATGACTAGTCAATTTCATTTATTTGCCTTATTTCAGCTAAATTTTCTCTCGAGTTTCGATATGCTACATTTACCACTGGCCTTTAATATAAATTTCTATTGAACCGCAGATCTCAACAAACATACAACACGAACAATGGTGAAATTTAGCAATTACAGCTTTGAACTCTAACTATGGTTTTTATCCAAATTCCTGACCCCCACCACTCAATTTCTTTACCTATATCTCATCCTTTCTAAGAACTAAACCAAGTGATAAAGAATGCTGCAAGTGTCCATGATAAAAGTTCAATAGAAAATTCATTTACTTTCCCTCTTCAAATGGTGTGACTATATGCAAGACAAATAGCAGATGTTTGACCAAAATTAGGGACTAAAAATCACTAACACGCACTTAAATTCGAAAAGAAAATCAATGAACCACACTAATTTCCCCAAAGCCAGCATACAAAAAATTGAAAAGAAACAAGGGAAAAAAATGAAAATTTGCAAATGGCTACCAATAATAATGGTAATAAAACCAAACTTTTCTCCATAATTTAGAAAATCAAAAAGAAAACAATGGCTAGAGACCAAGAAAGACCAAGAAAGAACATCATATTGGAAAGAATTTACACAACAGATAAGAAATCAAAGAATCACCAAAAAAAGAGAGAAAATTGAATTGATCTAGGTTGAGTGAAGGTGAAGTGGGTTCACAATCTGCGTACCCGACGTTGGAGGAAGCGTTCAAGGGTTGCATGGGCCAGCCAAAGCCAGAAGCAGGAGCAGAGAAATTGGCATCAGGAACAGCAATATCTTCAATCAAGCCGTAATCGAAGAGCCAATTGGTGTTCTCCGGAGAAACCATTGCCGATTGATCGCCGGAAAAAGTAGAGATTTCTCCGGCGCAATTGTGATGAGGAGGGAGAAGAATTAACAGGGGGTTTCGCCGCTGGTTTTAGACTTTCTGTGGGTGGGTGGGTAAGTAGATTTCTTTTTTCAATCAACGTGGGTAAGTAGATCGACGAGAGAGAAAAGATTGGTTATTGTTGGCTGCGATGCTTTAAGATATTGTGATTGGTAAAAGAAAATTGCATGACTTTGCTTTGAATAATGGTATATGTATTAATTGATGTGATTTAGGTCTCGTTTGGCATAATTTATATAATCTATCTTTTTATCTTTTTATTTTTCTTCATCACATCACCTCTTTACTTTTCTACACATCTTTTCATAAAAAGATAAAAAGTACACTTTTTTAGGACACCCCAAACTAACCCTTAATTTAAGGAATTTTTAATATTTATGATTTATATAATAAGTGAAATTAATAATAATATTATAATTAATATTGATATATTAATTCATACATATAATATTATTGTCTTATGTTAAATGGTTAAAAAATGTTTAAAAAAATAATATATGAGGATTAGTAAACGAATATAAAAACGTGGGGCTGAATAAGGAATCCGTAAAATTCGTAATCTAATCCAGTTCAGTCTAATTCATTAGATTTGGATTGGTTTTTTGAATCCGTGGTTTGGTTTCGGATTGAAAAATTAAAAATCTGTAGTTTACAGTTTGGTTTCGGATTGAACCTCATGGTTCCGGATTGAAATCGATTCGGACCGTATACAAATAGTCTATATTTTTATTATACATCCTTCTGCATAATATCTTCTCTTATTTCATATAAAATTTATTTTCAAACCTAAACTTGCATAGTATATTCTTTTATTACTTTTGTTTGCTAGTTTTTAGTGTTAATTTGTAATGGTCTAAATACTTATAATGGAACTAGTTTTCTTATGATTGTTTAAATTTGAGAACAGTTTGTCGCTATTATGAAAGGACATGTTGTTATTGTGAAACTAATATGGTGATATATTTATATTTTTATGAAATTAAAGTGTTATATGTATTTTTTTATTATTTAATTATGTAAATTTGTGATCTTAAACTGATCCAATCAGTGTTTAAATAGATTGGTTCAGATTGCTTCCACGATTTAAACGGATTAAATTAGTTCTAATTTTTTAAGATCCATAAATAACAAATTGATTCTGATTTTACTCCAATCCAATCCAATCCGATCCGAACCATACTCACCCTTATAAAAACGTGACCTTTTAGGCGTATTGAATAGTTTTTCGCGAGGAAATCTGACGAATGGGGAAATACGATGCCGTATGGATTTCTGGGCTGTCAGCGTCAGTACAAAAGTGGGCCTGGGTTAAATAGTTTTCATTTCCAACTATCTGTCTCAAACAATCCAACGGAGTTGGCCCAATTTAACTACGACCCAGCAGCTCATTAGGAGATTTAGGCTGGGTTAGACCACGGATTCAAGTAAGGATTTTTTTAAAAAAATGTGTAGATGCCCTTTGATAACATTTATATTTTTTATTTTTTATTTATATTTATATTTATAAAAATTTTAAAAACTCAAATAAGAATTTGTTTGGTAAATTTTTGATTTATAAATCAGTGGTCTCAGTTTATAAATTTGGCCAAAAAATATAAACTCAAAAAAATGTGGTTTGTTTCTGAGTTTGAGTTTTAAGTTTTTTTTTTTTTCCCACCCCAACACTAGCCACCACCCGCCATCATTTTCTACCACCGTCTTTCGCCACCACCATCCACACCCTACCCCCACCACCACCTGCCACCACTACTCACACCTCGCTGCCACCACCCATCAGCCACCTACTCACCGCCCCGCCGCCACCACACCACCGCCACCAACCACAAACGCCCACCACCCACCTGCCATCCACCACCCACCACCCGCCACTACTATCCACCGCCCGCCGCCACCACCCGCCACCTACTTGCCATCACCACTCACCACTCACCTGCCACCACCAGCCACCCACCACCACCAGCCACCTGTCACCCACTCACCCGCTACCACCACCACTCATCACCACCATCACCCACCCACCCACCCATTACCACCACCACCCGCCACCTACCTGCCACTACCCACCACCACCCGCCATCCGCCACCCATCTGTCACCACCACCCACCACCCGTCACCACCACCACTACCACCCACTCACTACCACCCACCAACTGCCACCATCACCCATCCACCCACCATCACCACCAGCCATCCGCCACCCACCTACCACCACCACCTGCCACCACCACCACCACCACTACCCACTCGCTACCACCCACCACCCACCACCGTCACCCACCAACCCACCACCGTCACCCGCCACCCCGCCATCCGCCACCCACTTGAACTGTGAAGTAATACTTAAAAGGATTGGATTTGAAAAAAGATTTTGAGCAATTCATACACTTTGAGCACAATGAAAAGACTCTTGTCCAATTTGTAGTAAAGGGTGTCTAGTCCTAAAGTTTGATTTTGCTTTTTTATCTGTAACAACCAATCCACGAGGGGGACCAATTGAAGCAAATGGATAGACAGTACAGTGGAAGCATGATGAGAGGTCCTGAATCAATTGGTTGGGTAATGAATAAAGATTGTAGAAAGAGAGTGCGTAATGTGTTTGGACAATGAGTGAGTGGCCTTAAAACAACCCTACGATACCACTTTTATATATCATATCCCCTGCTCTGAATTACCCACTTCATGTGGTCCAAGAAATGGAGTTTGAGACCCTACCACTATCTCTATGTTTTAAAAATTTTCTTTTCCAAACAAAGCCTAAAAAACTGTGGGGTAGACTCTCTTGTCTTTGAACACAGCATATTTTTTGGTATGTCAATGCATACCAACACTTTTGAAGATACTGTCAAAACATAAATCAGCACAACATACCAACCACATTTCTCAAGCATATTTCAAGTGACAAACAAATGATAAACTGTAGGTTATGCAAAGAATCCCAATTTCTTCACAAGTTGAAAAGAGCACTGTCATATGTTCTTTGTTACCTCCATTTGGCTATTCAAAGCAAAACAACTTTCCAGATAATTGATACAATGCCAAGTTTGAAATGTGGCTTGGTTCTAATCTATTTCAACGATGACTCAACTTTGATTTAACCAAAAGAGGTAACAAGGCATTACTAAAGTACAACAAAACAGAATTCTGTAGGAATGAATGCTTAGGTATCAAACTCTCCATTTACGAATACAAATTGAAATATTCAATGGGCAACCCTCTACTACTATTATCACTGATACAAGCCCAAATATTCTCTTCACTATACAAATTACAAGCAGACTACGTTAGAATTGGATTCGAATTTTTGGTTGATAATTAAAAATGCCACACAGATAAAGAACAAAAGATTTTCTCAAATAAAAGCAAAAACCGTCCTACTTCATCAAAATCAGCCATAGCTCAAGCGAGAGTCTGCAGAACGCATGTTGGTTTGTCGCCGAGGAATCCCAATCTCACAAGCATTAACCCTTGCTGCAAACCTAAGCGAACAAAGTGACTCTCCCAACGAGGAAGGATCAGGAGAAACATTGACAAACATCAAAGTCTTCGAGTCCCCACCTAGGCAAGGCTGATTAACCATGGATTGATTAGAAGATATCAAACAAAGCATAAATCCACAACAATATAGAATAATCTAGTTGTATAAGCTTTTATCTATGCCATGTTTTTGTTCCTTTCATTTTAAACTTTAAAGGCCTTGGATAGGGATCATAACAAGACATTGAATTATAATGTGACCTTTGAATGAGTAAAGTTGGGATAATATAAGGGCTATTAAACACTTTTGAGAAAAAATTGTAGTCCAATTATATTGTGATTTATGACCACATAATAAATGATATCCTTGTATAGGAAAATAAGAAGAATCAACAAAGAGTTTAAGCGATATGAGTAACTTGACACTTAGGAGTAGTGCTTTACTTTAATTTTGCACAATTTACTATTTATATATATTTGGAATTGCAAATGGCAGATTATGTCACTGTGCCTTCCCAGTATGGTATGATTCCTCAACAGGTAAGACTGATTGATTAAACCTGCATTTCTTCAGTGCTCAGTGGCTTATATGATAAATGTGTATTGAACCTCATGGATATCTGCATGTTTTATAGCTATAGCTTGTTTTGTAAACATGTTTTATGAATCTATAATCTCAAACCAGACATGTTCTTACCATGAGACAGTCTCCCTAGTCACTGCATGCGACTTCGCGGTATAGGAATGGGATGGGGTGGTCTGTCCTATTAGGAGTCTGGGTTAACAACAATTCCCATTTGTCTTATCCCACTTAAGCAATGTGCATAATACTATTATTATTATTTCTTGTTATCCTGTTTAGTTCCTGAAAATCTATTTCCTGTTACCCTGTTTATTTAGGTCCTGTTATCCTCTTAGAACCAAGCTTCTGATGTAAATATTTTTTCCATTATCCATTAATCAACAGGATAACTACGTGCACAATTTACTCAGTCTAGCCTAGGACTTTGGTAGCAAGTTGCAACTGGCCAGTCACAATCCTAAATCCATTGAGGTTGGGGTTTGGGTTGTGATAAATTGCACATCCATGTTTTCCACAAATGAAAGCAAAATGAATCTTCTAAAAGAGACAATTTAACATAGCATAATTGTACTGTTCTCATTCGAAGCATTTACCTGAAGAAGATATGTGAGCTTTGAGTTCCTAAATGGCACATGGTCCTCCTTCTTTGCCAAGGCAAATATAACATCACTTAAAGATGATAAGCTCTTATTAATGGCCTGCAAACAACCAAAAAATATTAAATTAGAAAATTTTCCATTTTGAAAAAGAAGATTACAAAAGTGAGTTATGCTGGTTTTGCACCACTACGTACTTGTGTTTCCTTCAGCCGGTCACCAGTAGATCCACTCTTAGAGAGACGCTCACTACCAGCAAGGTCAATAAGATTCAGGACACCTTGTACTTGTTGTTCAGTGCTCTGAAAAATGCGAGAAGAAAAACAGTCTATCATTGACTGGCATATTTGTGCAAGTGTGTGTGTGGTGAGCAAGAGAGGGACAGAGATGGAGGGAATCAGTGCTAACACACTTGAAAAGGTGACAGTCCCTATTAGTGTTCATACCTCATTAATACCAGATATTCGAAGAGTGAAGACAAAATGACTTCTTGAAGACTGTTCATTCATCTGGGTCTTGCCTACAGACCTGAATGAAAACAAATAGAAGTCTTGCAAATATAAACAGAAGTACGTGGATCTTCTGGACCAAACAGCCCCAAAATTTAAAAAACAAAAAAAGAAGCATACAAAAACACTAGCGCATGATATACTGGTAAAGTGGTAACAAATAATTTATGCTAGACGCCACAAATAAGATCCAAACTGCTTTCTCAAAATAATCTTCTTTTGCAACTTGTAAAAGAAAAAAATAATTTTTTTTTTTTTGAAAGATTCA